CACAACCTCCCCTTGAATCACAATCATGTCCTCTATTACCGCTACGACGGACCCTACTGTCACATCTGCCCGTTGTGGAAGTTGAGGCAGATCCATCACTCATATTGGCGGTAGATATAGTAACCCGTTGAAGACGTGAGTACACCTTGTTGAGAGAAGGAAGTTCATTGCTAGCTAAGATCTGGGCACTAACAGAATGATGCTCAGAACTAAGGCCGGACTTCCCTGTGCTTCTTTAGAAGCTCCATGTCATTTCACGAAGGTTGATACATGTTTAACTCTTCCCACGTACCTCGGAGAATACAATAATAGTCACTTAGACTCTTTTCACCTTGCTGTAAAAGGAACATGCTCTCATAAAGTTAAATTCGAGAAATATTTTCATCAGAAGACTACATCTCATGTATTGCCTCCCACACTTCCTTGGCAGTAGCAAAAAACATGACATTAACCCTCACATGGGGTTCCACACTATTCCATAACCAGGTTCAAATTTGATAGTTTTCCTCAAGCCACTCCTCAAGTCCTCATATCCATTATCTGACTTTTTTGGCCCATCTTTAGTCAGAAACTTCATCTTTCCCCTTGCACCTGGAAATACTTTTATAGACCGGGCCCATAAGAGGTAATTAGGCCCATTTAATTTCTCAGCTGGAATTTCTATCATGTCACTAATGGTAGAAATTCCAGACTTACTTCTTTAGCCATAAGGGAAAGATAATAACACATAAAAAAGGTATGCAAGGATATATCAGGAGCACAATTAGGAACCCTAAAACACTAGATTGAACTACATAAATTTACTGAATCACAAAAACAGTTTGCAACGCAAAGGACTGCACATGTAACATTTTTCAATCACTTACGAAGAGAAAACTTATCGTTCAAGCATCAATGATCCCCAACAGGACTCCTATTACTTCAGCCACACACTTTGAGACATTTCAGTAATTGTTTCTCTTGCTTTTCACATCCAAGAGAGGAAACTTCAGCAGCATAAACATTCACAGCACGTGCAAGCCATCATACGCCCACACACAAAAAACTGGATACCGCTTGACGAGATCAACACCTAACGAGAATGGGTTTTCCATTCTTCACTTCTTCTCTCTCTCTCTCTCTGTTTTGTTTTAAAAAGAAAAGTTCAAGAAAAGGAGAAAATCAATTCAGATCTGCTTTGATACCATGTGAACAGTTGTGGACAGTGCCATGATCAGTAAAAACTAGAGAGAGAAGGGAAAAAGAAGAGGAAACGTAAGAGAGGAGAGAAAAGATGAAAGTGAAGAGAGAGAGAGGTGCGTAGACTAATTGCCTAGCGCACATGCACCTCTTAAACTTTATTGACAATAACTGGATGATAATATTACAGAAATGCCCTTTAAGTATTTTATTAAAACCTAATATTCCAACACTCACAACCACATAATGATTTAATCTTTAACAGTTTGAAACCTCTTTTTCAAATTCAAACTGATGGAATCTGTTCAGATTGTGCTGATGTATGTGCTGATAATAAAATCTTATAATGTGCCAATCCTTTATGATTTAGAAAAATTCATTTATTTGCTTCTTTGCTGAACTTTCCAAACCCGCACTCTTGAAGTGTATAGAGCTGCACCATTTTGTCCTTCCCAATGAGTTTCTTACCCTCAATTTGAATGAATATCTCTGTTATCTTTGATGGTAGATGTTAAAAGAACCGTTAATAGATTGCATAAAAAATGCTATAACGAACACAAAGATAAGTATGGAAAATTTTGCTGTGACACAAATTTGGTCTTTTTAGGATGTGGCATGTGAATGACACTCAAAAATCACATGAACATCTTGATTGGAAACTATCTTTTACAAGATCTGTATTGAAGCAGCCAGCAAGGTGAGCTAGGTCGCAAAAGAATGACGTTTACAACAAAACCAAACTTGATTAATTTAATTTTCTGTCAAAACTAGAACAGGTCACTTTCAAGATCGCATTGATAAGAATGGTTTAACGTGGAATGGCTTTATATGAAATGGTTAAGTCAGATTAATCCTTTCAGGGAAAGTGGTTATTTTTGTGAATGTAACTACTATGGTTGTGCTAGTAAATTGTAATTATTGAGACTTCTTGAATTTAAATGTGATAATACAACTTGAAGTATGTTTTTTGAAACATTGTTTCCATTCATATATAATGAATTGACCTCTTAGTCAACATGCACCAGTACATGTATACCTATGTTACAAGGAAACGGATAAATGAATCTGTGTCTGATTGAGATTAGAATAGTCCAACTTACCTACCTATATTTTGCCAAGTCCAATATGATACATCTGTATATGTCCTTGCATCACACACGTCTATAAACATTTATACAATAGAAGTAATGTGTGTATTTGTAATAATAAACTAAACTTAAAAAGAGAGGGTCCAAATCAAAGATATGGGTCCACATCATAAGCCACATTTGCCCATGAGTGTCCTACAAAACAGACACATGTATCTTCTAATGTGGACCTGTGTGTCTTGTTTGTCTAATTTGTGAATTTGCATGTCCATAGAGAAGACATGATGTATGTTTCTTGTTATTTGGACTCGTGTGTCTTACAAAACGGACATGCGTGACTTGTTCATCCAATTTGTGGACTTGAGGGTCCACAGGGCAGAGATTATGTTTTTGCTTATTCAAACATAAAAATTTCCAGATGTTATTATCAACATTTTTGTTTTGCATGTCTGACACGCATTGTTCAAAAAAGCAGACCGCCCAGTGCCTAGGCAGTCCAAAAGGCTTGGACGCATCGCTCAGGCCTAGGCGGTAGTCCTTGGGCTGCCGCTCAGGGCCTGGGCCCCGCCTAAGGGCGGAAATGACTTTTTTTTTGTTCTATTGAGTTTTTTTGAAACATAAATGCTTTTAAGGATGAGTTTTAGGTTCATTTGAAACCTAAACCCACAGGAACCCATTTTAGAGTGAAAGAAACCTCAAAAAAACTAAATTTTGGGATTTACATTGGATCGAAGTGTTTCTCAAAGTTACGGAAAATGGATCCGAGCATCACGCAGGTAAATTAGATTTAGTTTTGGAGTTTTTTAATCCTATTAGAGGGTGTTTTAGATTATTTTAACGCCAGAAAACATCTCAGAGGTGGGAGTTTGGAGTTTGAGCAATCAAAGTAAGTGCAAAACTTTATTTTTTAGATTACTTGTTTTATTTTGAGATGTCTTCTTCAATATCTATTCGAAGTGGAGATCCGCGTTGGAAATATGGATATAACCTGAATCCAAATGACAAAAATTGCATTAGATGCAATTATTGTGGAAAAGATACAAAAGGGGGCATAAACCGGTGTAAGAAACATCTTGCCGGTATTAAGAGAATGTTGCCCCTTGTAAAAATGTTCATGAAGCTATCAGAGAGTAGATTAAGCAATATATGAGTTCTGTAAAACAAAAACAGGAACAAAGTCCTTGTCATTTGAATATATCTATTTCTGGTTCTTCTACAAGAAGTGATCTGGGTTGGAAGTATGGTTATAGCTTAAAACCAAGCGATAAAAATTGTATAATGTGTAATTTTTGTGAAAAAGATACCAATGGGGGTATTAACTGATTCAAGAAATACTTTGCCGGTAGTAAAGGAAAAGTTGTTTCTTGTAAAAAGGTTCCTGAAGCTATTCAGGATGAGATTAGACAACTTATGAATTTAAAAGAACCAGAAAAGGATGAAAATGAATCTTGTTCTATAGAAATATCTTCTCCAGATTCTTCTAGAAGTGGTGATCCTGGTTGGAAGTATGGTTATAACCTGAATCCGAATAACAAAAATCGTATTTAATGTAATTATTGTAGAAAGGATACTAATGGAGGCATTTACTGGTTTAAAAAACATCTTGCCAGTATAAAGGGGGATGTTGCCCTGTGTAAAAATGTTTTTGGGGCTATTAGAGAGGAGATTATACAATATTTGAGTTCAGGGAAGCACAAAAAGATAGAAAAGGGTAGAGCAGCCAAGACTCCTAGGGCCTCATCTGCATATACTAGTATGAGGGAGGTAGAAGAAGATGAGGAGGAAGATGCAGATTCAAAAGAAACAGAGGAGGACGAGCATTATATTGAAGAGAGAGATGACTCTGATGGTGATGGCCTCTAATCTGATGCATATGATGAGGCTTACCCGATTCCTTTTGACGATGATGATGATGACTGAGAATGAAGAGTTGAAGACGCTTGAGTGCTTGACTCTTGGTGTTGAGTGTTGACTATTGTGTCCTAGACTGTATATTTTCTAAATTTCTGTATATTTTCTTTTTCTTATTTTTAGTTTCTACTATCTAACTTTTGTGTGTACAGTCTACAGTGTATCGGACTATTAGTATATGCTTGTATGGTTTTACTGTTTTAGCATTGTATGAAGATATGGATTATGGTATTGTTAAAAAAAAAAAGAAAAGGATTATGGTCTTATGGACTATCAAAATTCTCTTCTTGACTTCTATCTTTTTTTCTTTTTTTTTTAACTGGGCTTCCTAGGTTCTAGGCGCCCACCTTGGCACTGGGCGGCCTGGACGCCCACGGCCGCCTAGTGCTTTTTGAAACACTGCTGACACGTTGACATTCGTGTCTAGTGCACTGGTGTGTTGGATTCTCCTAAATGCATGTCCTTGTTATATATATGCATAGCAACACTGGTAAGTTACTGTGGAATGCATTATAGCATATTTTTTTAGATTTAAGGGAGGAATAAATGTAGTTCTTAACTTTTAGTATTTCTTAAGATGATGCGTCGGAGAGTCCTGGTTTTCATTCTAGTAGTCATTGATTTTCTGGTTGTATATTTGGACTTAAATTATCAACTTTTCTGATCTTCTAGAAGGTTAGTTCGTAATTGCATAAATTTTTAGGGATGATACTTTTTTATAGTCCATGTATCTTCTCCATGTTTATTTTTACCTTTAGTTTATATGATTCATGAATTTATCAAAGGGAATTTCTGAAGTATTCTAATGGCATTATACTGCAGAGCAGCCATATGACAGTATTCCAAATTTCAGTGCTGCAGATGCTTTACGACTTACAGGAATAGGAAGGAATGAATTTATTGATATAATGAACAAATGCAGATCAAAGGTAACATGATTGGGAAAATTTTGACTCTGCTACTCATAATCACGATAGTTGTACTTTGAAGCCATGCACAATTCAATTTTGACGCATGCTGAGTATGAGATGGCATAGTTAGCTCTGTCGTAAAATTATATTTTCATATGATCTTGATTTAAAATCCTTTTATAGATTGATGCTTCTTGGCATTGAAAAATGCTTTTATGCAGTAGAGGACACAATATATCTAGGAATTTGCTATTGGTACCCCTCATTTTGCTACAAATATAGAAGGTGCCCTACAATGTGTACGTTATTTCTCTTAGGAACTGCCGCACAATCTGTTATTTTTGGGGTTTCTTGTTCTTTTTTTGTTCTTGTCATAATAACAGAAACCTGGTATGTGAGATATTTGCATCCTTTTGAGATACAATTCATCTTTCTCATTGTGAACATCTTCTGCACTGTAGTATGTGGTGTAGAAAGCCTTGTTAATTATTTCATTCTTTTTAGCTTGGTCATCTTTTCCCCACGAACATCTTAGATGGGAGGTCAAAGTTTGTTACTGTTTGTGTTAATCTTTGTCTTTTTGTGCTTTTCTATTATGCATCCGGTATTGCAGAGCATTACTTTTTTAATACCAAAATTGTATTATCTGTTTGGAAATCCAGAAAATTATGTGGAAGCTCAACAAGTCGATAGCAAAAGAGTTGCTGCCTAGCCAACCGGCTAACTTTACAATAGAACCATGGTGGGGTGTATGCCTTGTTAATTTCACATTGGAGGAATTCAGGGTAAGTTTTGGTCTTGATTTTAGTAGTCTAAATATTTTTAATTGTAAATGTAATTCCTATTGGCATGTTGATCAATTTTTGTCATATGATTAAGTCCCAGACACATGCATGCACACTCAGATGCTGGTGCACACCAATGCATGTGCTTGAACCCAGATAGCATGGTTTGTGTGACTGGTGTTAATTGATGATTTTCATCCTAAAGAAACTGACTGAAGAAGAGATGGCTACAATTGACAAAATATGCAAGGAGGAAGCAAATGCTTTTGTTCTTTTCGATCCTGAAATTATAAGGGGACTTTATCGCCGAGGATTGATCTACTTTGATGTGCCTGTTTATCCAGATGATCGTTTTAAAGGTTGGATATTTTACATATTTTTTCCCCCTGAATTTGTTATTAATACTCTGTCAATGAGCCTGTAAATTGTTAGGTGCCATGTTCTTGTTCTGATGATAGTAATTTTCGAATTATAGATTCTGTTGTCACCTTAATAGGGGAACACATAGTGCTCAATGTTAAAACAGCTTGAGTGGTGATATTATTGCTACCTCTTTCTGGAGTGTCGTAACTAATAAATACCATTGACATACTTGTTCTTATAACAAAGAATCCTGTACCTTGAACCAATAGGAAACAATTATGTTGTCTTATTGAATGTGTTTTTCCAAGTAGATTATTGGTGAAAATATCTGGCCTTCACATTTATTTACTTTTTTATGTAATGCAAAAATTTCAAACGCCATAATGGTATTGGTCTATGTAGGTACTGAGATTAACCTTAGGGTGTCAACGAGCTTAACTAGGCCTAGCTGAGAGGAGCTTGGACATTTTGAAGCTTGGCTTTCATGATTGGAGGATGAGCTTCTGAGTTTGGGTTTAGCTTAACTCTACTTTGAAACATCTGGCTTGATCATGCCTTGAATAAGGGGAGGTAAGCTTGAGTTTGACTTGGCTTGGGTTGTTTACTTGAGGAATCCAATAAAGAAGCTAAGTCAAGCTGTAAGCAAGCCCAGAATCGAGCCAAATTAAACCAAAGGCAAGCAAATTCCATCGATAAACGAGCCAAGAATAAACCATACTTCTAGCCTGCAAGTGTTCTTCAAATGCACATTTATGAATTTTAAATTAGTATGTATTATAAGGATATATAATATATTAGACAAGCTCAAGCTAAGCTTGACCCAAGTTTGCTTTCAGATTGAGCTTCGCTTGATTAACAAATTAGTGTCTGGCTTGGCTTGTCGATCTATAAAATATTGATCAGACTTCGATCGTTATAAGTCGAGCAAGCTGGCTGGCAAGCTCACTTGGTTTGTTGATGCCCCTAGGTAACCTATAGAGGTGAGCAGTCTCCACCCCCCAACAAATCACGCATCATGTCTATGCAGTCGCACCAAAGCAGCATGGGTGGCTTTGCACCTTACATGGGTCGATGTGACCCTCTTAGGTGACCTGCATTGAGGCGAGTGCTTAAGCGTTAGCATCGCTCCTTCGCCGATGCAGCCCTTTGATGCGAATTCGAATAACAGAAAAGAAATCAAAGAAATAATGTATTGACTAAAAATTAATGGTAGCTAACATGCCTAACATCAATGACTCTATGACTTCCATAGAATTCCTAAGAACAATATTGTGTAATAACAATAATCAAACACTCATATTCTTTTACACTGCACCTTCTGTTAGATGTGTGTACACCCCAAAAATTAATGCAAAATTAGTTTATAAAATAAAAAATAAGAATGAAATACTCTATGCCATTGGTTCAAGATATGAGGCACAAGGGCTAACTTGTGATATTGCAACTAAATCCATCTCAGCTTTCCACTCAGATCTGGTAGCTAAGAGCAGGGGCCATATATAATTTACATGTGGGTGCACCCACATATAAAAGTGACAGTACTCGGGCAAATATAGTAGAAACTGCTCGAGTACTATAAAACATTGGTGGATTTATTGTGAAACATGGGCTAACTCGCCTAGGTTTTATAGTACTCAGGTGAGTCTCTATTGTATTTGCCTACATTTTCATATATTTTAGATTTTAATTTTTTGATTCACTATTCATCTGAAAATTTAAAGAGCTCGGATCTTCTAGATCCAAATTGAAACCCAAAACTGGCTTGGAGGTTTTGTCTAGGGTCAGCCTAAGAAGATTTGACAATAACTGGAGGTGTCGAATTGAATTGACTACGAAGATCTCAGAACTAGGCAGTGTTTCAGAAAATGCTAGGCGGCGCCTAGGCGGTCTGGTGGGTCCAGGCTGCCCAGCACCTAAGCGAGCGCCTAGAACTTGGGCGGCTCAGTAGAAAGAAAAATGTCTCTATGTTTCTAAGGACTTAAAATCTTCAAAAAATCTAATAGATTTATAAAACATCGAAAACTAAATCTAAGATTAATGGGTGATGCGTAGATCAATTTCTCGTAACTTTGAGAAACCCTTCGATCCTATAGAAATCACCAAAAACTAGTTTTTTTGGGTTTTTCTCTCTAAAATAGGCTCTAATGGGTTTTAGGTTTCAAATGAGCCTAAAACCCACGATTTTGCCTATTTTATATTAAAAAAAAGGACAAAAAATGTCCTCAATGAGGGGTATTTCCGCCCTTTGGCGGTCGCGTGCCTTGGGCTGGGCGCCCTAAGCGGGTTCCCTGGCGCCTAGGCAGGCGCACCAACGGACAGCCCCCTAATTTAGCCGCCTAGGCCTTGGGCGCATCGCCCAGACCTTCTGGACCGCCTAGGCACTGGGCGGTCCGCTTTTCAAAGCAACGGAACTAGGAGTTTGCTCAAAATTTTGTGTATATATACATATATATATATATATTTTTTTCGCTTTAGATTCATGAAATTGCTTTATTTTTTAATAATTTCAGTTGTCCAGCATTATTTCAGTTATTGTTACGTTTTTTATTGCAATCTATCACAAAAATGTGTAAGATTCAAATTATTTTTTTAATTTTCTTATATAAGAGAATGATTTTCATGTATACGATGATAAAATTCTATGTAATTATAATGTTGGGTTTTAGGAGAGACCCCCTACCCAACACCCTGGGCCTGATGTATTTCCATGATGTTTTTAATAGTATTAGGGTGCTGTATTTTGTATTAGATTGCTCTATATGGGACTCCTATGTTGTGTCTATGAGATATTATAAGTGTAAGGTTGATGTATCATCTTATTGTTTATTTTTCATTCTCAAATGTGAACTTGTGAGGTGGAAATTGATGGGCTTCATTTGAATTGGCACTAGAAGAGTACAATAATATTAATTATAATATCATTTGGTGTTTCATAAAAGTTTTGGCAAAGAAGATCGATTTTTCATCATTTTCCATCTTTTGCAACTAATATTATTCATTTTTTTTTTCCTTCCTATTATTTTTTTGTAGGTTTTTCATATTTTTGTGGATTTTTTATGGTCCTTTACATGACTCGGGCAAGTCAGATCGACGCATATGAGTTGCTTGGCTCCCGCAGGTGCAGACTACTTATATATATATATATATATATATATGGAAGATGCTAGGGTGAGCCCACTAGCTTATAGCAAAAAATGATCCCAACGGCTCAGATTGAATCTGGGCCGATCTGACGATCATAGATGTCCGGTAGTGTTTGAGTTTTAATTTGTTTTCTACAAAACCAAATCACTTGAAATTTGGAGAGTGTGTACATAAAAAATAGGTGAATCTTTGAAAAATATCAAAAAAATATTTTACATGAAATAAATTGATCAACATACCCCCGAAACGTTTCAGGGGTATTTTGGTCAATTCTTTTCAAGAATTATTATTTTTATATCTTTATTAAGTGCGGCTTGATGAGAAGAACACACGCCTAAAATTTTAAGTGATTTGGATTCGTAGAAAAAAATTAAAATTCAAATGCTACCGGACATCCGTGATCGTCAGATCAGCCCATATTCACTTTGGACAGTTGGACTCATTTTTTCCTGTGAACTAGTGGGCTCACCCTAGCTTTTTCCT